ATCATCCTCATTCTCTGAGCACAGACTGAACTGTAAAACCACGTTAGTGACTCACGTGTTCATAATTCAATTCAATTCAGTTAATTTATATAGCGCCAATTCACAACACATCTCAAGGCACTTTACAGTTCACCAGATCATACAGTCAATTGATTCAAAATTTCTATCTAATGAAAACCAGTTGATTGCATCGACTCATTGGCTCGAATACAATCCCTCACACTAAGCATGCTTGTAGTAACAGTGGACAGAAAAAACTCCCTTTTAACAGGAAGAAACCTCCAGCAGAACTAGGCTCAGTGTGAGCGGCCATCTGCCGAGGCCAACTGGAGTTCAAGGAGAAAGAAGCATATGGTGTACAGGATATCTTCTATAAGAAGCATAGAGAGGATATCCTGTACACCAATGTTTTACAACTCCTGTTTTTTTCCCCTAGCCCTTCTTACAGAGACCTGCGGCTGTCTTGTGCAGTCATTCCAAATAGCAGCTTGGCTAGCTGTTTCTGAAATGTTAAACAACATCCAAACCACTAACATTTTTACATCAGCATTTCTCATGTGTCAGATTCATGCATTAGTTGGGTGCATGTGACCTGATGGTGCTGCAGGAATTATCTTCCCTTGTTTGTTAAAAAAATAAATAAAAACAGGGGCCTTTTATATCAGCGAGTTATATTGATGGAATTTCCAATGTCCAATATTAAGTTTTAAAGCTTATATTGGTAGCTGCTAATAACATGATGCCGTTAATATTGTGCATCCCTACAAAATGACACACTTCACTGTGGGGACTTGTGGTTTTATAGAGACAACAGCCATTTAAGCAGAAGGTATCTTTCTTCTTGTCAAGCATTGTGTTTAAGTGTGCCCTCTGCTCATTTTACATGGAGGTTAGTGTTAAGGTCTGCATGCCAGATGAAATTCAGTCTGATGTCCAAATAAGAATAACTTGGTTAGCGTGTTTGAGAGAAAGAAGTACTTAACGGTAACTACAAAACTAAAAGCTATCCTGAGTCTTGGATGATGGTGAAACAAAAGCAGAAATATTAGCTGTAAGCCGGTATCGCTTTCTTAAAGCTAAATCAGTTAGATTTAATTAGGTTGCACTTATTGCATTCTTTGTTAGCAATGTAATATGACTGACAGTTGGTCCAGGAACAAGTTTGGACTCTATCCAATTCCTTCTATGCCTAATGTGTGTTCCCAGAATCTGTAACTCACCTCTTGCAGTCTGTCGGTATCACCGGGTTTCAGGGCTTTGGTATGTCGCACCATCTGGGGTGAAAAGAAGCTGCTGAATTTAATGATAGAAATTATATATATATGGTGGATTCTACTGAAATGGTGCTTTGCAAAGTGTAAACAAAGAAAAAAACATAAATAATTTTTATAATGTCTGTCTATTTCAACAAGGTTTCAATGAGTACAGGGTTTAGAAAACATGCAAATTGAAACGGACGAAAGGGTCTGCCCCTTCTTTTGTTAGCCTGAAATGCCCCATACCTGTATGGGGCATACCTGCAACAGGCATGCTGTTGGTCCGTTTCAATTTTCATCTTTTCTAAAGGCTTTGTTGGGTTCTGTATAAAGCCTCGAACTCAACGCTATTTTTGACATTTTGAATTGAAAAGCTTCCTGTATGGGAAGCGAAATGTCTTCAAACTTGAAAACAAAAACCAGTGGATTGTTTTTTTAACCTTTTTTTTGGAATGACTATGACCTGGATGACTAAGAATCTTTGCCAGTATAACTCAAAAAGACGTTTACTAGTAGAATGTATGTTACTAGCAACAACAGAATGAGAGAGATGTGTTTTATCAAGTGATCGAGCTGAGAAGTTAGTACACATTTACTCCCTTTTTAAAGTGCTTAATGTATATTGAACTATTATGACAGCCGTAGTGGAAGAGGCAGTTCTAGCCCAATTTTATTAGCGGTGCATGGGTGGGGCCAGGTTTTTTTTTTCATGGGGGCACAGAGAAAAAGAATAAAGAAAAGAACAGGGCAAAAGTTCATCATTTAATAAATCAAGAGAGTCAAAAAGCCACTCATGGCTCTGGAAACCATGGAGATGAAGACTTTGATCATATCTCAATATCTCAAAGGTGCAACATCTTAATTTCTTAAACATTTACATATAAAAAAAACACATTTAGAAAAATTACATTGGTCGAAGGGATTAATTAGTTTCAGTTCCTGTGCCAACATAGGAATAAAAAAACTGATTTGGTATTATAACTACAGTAGAGTGGCCAACGGGGTCAGGCCCGGTTCCAATGGTTGTAATGGCCTCTTTTTAGAGCTGCCTAACCATAGTAGCCTATCATATAACTAACTGAGGCAATACCATCAGAATTTGGTGATGCATGGAAACTTCTTTGAAAAATGCCAATAAGAAATTGGGTTTTGTAGTAGAAAATCAATATCCTCTTCCAAAATGCCTACTGGATTATTCATATTCTGGCCCAAAGGAAATAGGGTTTATCCCCCAAAACTTGACGTTCCCTCTATCCGATCATTGTTGTACTCTACTCCATCCCAATTTAAATTTTTCAAATATAAAAGCTAGTCAGACAGAATATAATATTTTAGGACATCATTGTACCAGCATGTTACAAAAGCCAACAAAAAGGAAACTCATATCTTTGTTTTAAAACTAATTGTTCTTACTTCTCTTATTTTCTATTGACATCAATTTCATGGATGATCAATGTTCCTTCTCTAATCTCACTGGTTGGACAGTGCTTGAATAGAAAGTAAAGCTAGCGACCTGTTTTAACTGAGGTCCTTGTAGTTGCTAGCTAATGTGTGCAGCCATTTATATAAATGCATAGAGCACAAGTTCAAGACTTGAGCAATTGATATTTTAGCTTACATCTTAAACTTTAGGTGAAAATATAAACATTTCATTTAAAAAAACCTAACAACTAAGATTACTGGCACAAAAGTTATTAGTTAGTGCAGTTACACCTTTGGCCAAAAGTCAGAAGCTAGCATCTAGCAGCTGAAACTTTATAAATATGCTGGTGGCACATTCGCATTTTGACCTAACTGTGATGATTGGTAGAAATAAATTAAAGGTGAAATTCCAAAAAGTTTAAAACTTGTAAACAAAGCCCAGTAGATTGTTGTTGTTTTTTTCCTAATTTTTTTAATGACTATCACCTGGATGACTGAGAATCTTCACCAGCTTAAAGTCGTTGGGAAGCGGCTGTTCCAACGATTATAGTTCCGAGTTCTCCCGAGTCGTGCCCGATTTTATATGAGTGAACAAAGTGAATGTGATTGATCGATTATGAAGGGGGCGGGATTGTTGTGGTGAAAGGTTCGCAAGCAAGTTTGGTTGTGGCCGGTGTCTCGGAAGCATCTTGCTAACCAGTTAGCAACTTAGTGCTTGTAGGTTACCAATGGGAAATTATATTGGGACCAAGTAGCATTTCGCAACGTCACTGTCAAGGAACGCTATGGACAGTGGAAACATGCAAGAGGAGGAGAGTTTTGTGTCGGAGGTTGTGGATGAGTCTCCTCTGTCATACATTTTTTATTTAGAGGAGGAAAGCGGGGATGAAGTTGTTATGGAAGAGGACGCCAGGGCAGCAGAAGCTTTGATTGGTGTAGAAGGCTTACAGCTGTACATGTTTGAGCCCTTGCCTCGCAATGCTGCCAGTTCTGTTAGTTCTACGTCCATCCCTGTGAACATTGGGACGGAACTCATACATTTTTCTTATTTCAACCGTTGCGTATATTAGCTGTGACATGTGAATCATGATGCTATGACCGAAAAGTTTGATTGACAGATGACCGTTGATATATGATTGGCCGAATTTAGGCGTACAAGCTGACATATAACTAACCGGTCTGCATTTAATAACGAAAAAAAAAAACTGATTTTAAGACAGAATTCTTTTTTAAATAGAAATTTTCTAACTTTTGGGACAATATGGTCTGATAAAGAGTACATTTATATACATGTTTAAGCCAGATTGATTTGAAATTTAAATATGACTTCCCTACGACTTTAAAGGTGAAAAGTCTTATTCCACTTCTAAGACAGGATTATTTTACATTTCCAGCTAGAAAACAACGATGATGATGCTTTTTATATATAAATCTTATTGTAAAAAATATACATAAATTAAGTAGAAGATATTTTTAGCTATCGGTTTGTAATGGCAGCTGAAACTATTTCTAAACATGTGTAACACTTTAAATGGTTAGCTGATGCTAAAATTATAACTCCACTAACATAGCCTATGGGGGGACCAAGTGTGTGAATAATTTATTTTTATTTTTTATTATTATCTGGATTTTTTTGTATAAAATTACAAAATCCTGGTAAATACCAGAACAACACAGTCAAAGTAATGGGGTTACAAAGAAGTGATCAGGAGGCCTGTTGCACTTTGTTGGTGTTTGGCGGCACTTAGTGGTGAATCTCAGCCAGTGAGAGGATTTACATAGATTACGGTATATTAAATCAGGCTTTGCCTTATCGCTGCCAAAAGGCTCCTCTAGTATTTGGCACATTACTGATCATGAGAATCATAAGATTTACCTGCTAATACCAACAATAACACATACATTTGTAAGGTACCCACAACAGCTTGTTTACAGACAGATGCAAACAATTGCCTGCTGCAATGGGTGCATGATGTAATGGAAACAATGATTCTACTGGGACAGACTTTCTAACCAGGAATAAAGGGCTAAGCATGAGGGAGCTGATCCCTACACATACTTAAATGCCATTTTCTTTCTACTAAACTTTTGCGAAGGTTACATTATTCTTGGTTCTGACAGCATTATTCCCTGACATTTTGTTAAATTAACTTTCTAGGAATACTATGGAAAAGGAATCCCATGATTTTTAGAATAAAGGCAAGTGCCTGACGTAATATTGAGCAGCTTCATTTAGCATCATTGCACTTAAACTATTAAAAAATTCCACTTCATATTTTTTCCAATAAATAAGTCACACATGCTGGTCAGGTGAGCAGAATCTCACAAAATGATGCACATCCTGGATGTCCACACATTCTCAAGGCCACGTCCATTCAATTCAGGCTTATTCACTTCGTCAAATACTCCGCTGTCAATCATTTCCCTCTGCCAGCAGACTGAGACTGCGCCTGTGCTAAACTCTTTGAAGAATTTCTCATCCTTGGCATCAAGCTTGACATCCTTGATCTCAGAGTTGTCCCTAAAGTCTTCAGTGTCTTTGGAGTAAACCACATCAGGTTTTGGCACCCAGGGGGGCTCCACCAGCCCCGCTTCCAAACGGTGGAAATTGATACTCTTGAAGAACGTGTGAGTTCTTGGGTCATCATCTTTACTGTTAAAAAAACAAACACATACATCCATGACTTTTAGCTCTCTTCAGTGGTATCATTGATCTAACTTGAAATACATGGGTTTTGGGTGCCCAGCTTAACTTAAACAAAACATTAATATAACACATTATGTACATGAGTGCTAAACATTTGGGGTAAGTAAAAGTTATTCCTGTTTCTGTTGTTAACGGATCATAAAGCACGAAACCTATAATAAAAAAAAAGGATGTAAGCATTTAATTTCAAATGTCACTGTACGAAAAGCATAGTCAACAATACATAATATTAATAACAACCTGATGTCCAATTGCAAGTTGCACTCTACCCACCCTAATCATGAGTGTCAGGCATAATTCTAGCTGGACCTTTGACCTTTCTTCCTTCCAGAATTGGTAGGTTTATTTAAATTGGTTAGTTTTTCTACCACAAATCAAGCTTCATGTTTATTTCTCCGAAATTCTGGAATACAAGTTTCCATTTAGGTCTAAAAATGAGATGCAGTCACAGCATCTCAGGAATAGAACTCTGTCCCTCCGACAATCAGAGAACTTACAACATACACTATTTTCAAAAAGCATCTAAAGACTCACGCTCATAAC